CTGAATGATACATTCCTTCTGTATTTATACCTCATGTTTGAATAAAGAGAGGAGAATATCAAATCCCATTTTTTAATTACATTACTGTTGTATATGAGCACTCATTAAGGAGGCCATCAGTCTTACTTCACTATTTGCTATGCTGTTTTAAAAATGCTTTGTTTTTTCACTTGTTAATTACGAGCCTGTACCTTTTTATTCCCTTGCCTCCCAGCAGGTGATCTCCACATGCAAAATAAAGATATTTTTCAGGAGTTTTTTTGTAATGACTCCACTCATTTGAGGACTTAATGAAAATTTCTGGCATATGGCCAACAGCCTATACATTCAGTTTATCTTGTCAGCCACATGTTTATTCAGACTAGTACCTGTATGCAAGGCCTGCATAAACAGCAGGTTTGTTGAAAGCAAAAGAAACAAAAAGCACCCCTCAACATTTTCCTTCACTATTGCTCTTCAGAGGAGAGGCAGTGATACGGCACAATCCACATGCTGTACTAGACCTTACAAGGCCCCTGCAACTCCAAACATAACTACAACACTTGCATGACTGGGAAGGAGGAGGAGAGAGGAGAAAAAAAGAGGTATAACGAACACCATTGTATCATTTATTAGCATTCTTTGAGACTGTTCTCTCAGAGAAAAACCTTTTAGGTGCCCCTTGAGTGAATAGATAGGGAGACCAATTTACTGGGTTTAGTAAACACAGAAGTTAAAAAGTCCTTCTAAAGACACTCTAGACTTTTTATCAAAAGAAAAACATCACACTAACACCCTTGTCCATAAATTTCGGAAGGTTGAAATATTTAAAAATTCATGGCTGAAAAAAAAAAAAAGGCAAATAAGAGTACCTGCATTTAGAAGAGCTTTCAGACAGCATCAACAGCATAGCTGAACCCCCTCATGAACATCCCCTTGCCTCCAGGCTCAGGGCAAGTCCCTTTGTGGATGCACTCAGGTGTGGTTGATCTGGCTCTGCCCCTTAAGGACTCTTCCTTTCTTCCTTAGAAGTCCTTATGGTCTCTTTCTTTCTTCAGAGGGGTAAGCTGTATGTGCTTAGGGACCCTGTTGTTATGCATGATCATTATTGAATTACTTCAAAACATTCATATTTTATTAGAATATTTTCCAACCACAGACACCAGACACAGACAAAGTAAAACTGCAGCTTTACTTAAATAAATAAAGTGCTTTTGAACAATGGGAAATTCATCAGCTCAGGAGGGCACGACATTTAGAAGGATTCCCCTTCCATTGGGAGGTACCAAATATTTGGGAGCACATGAAAGCAAAGGTTTGTAGTAGAAAGAAACGCTGCAAACTTCGATACCATATACATGGCAGACTCCTTACAGTTAAACAAACAGCAAAGAAGGTGACAGGAGAACTGAAGCCATCAAATAAATGCCTGTCAGGAATTACATCTCAGCCCTGCAGTCTTGCAGTTTCCTTTTCCAATCACTAAGCTGCATGCCTAGGTCTGGATCTAGCAAAAGTTTTATATGGCATGTCAAAAGCACTTACTGCACTTTGGGATAAAAAGCAGGAATACACATTTCTGTATCTTCCAAAAGTAGTAGGCTAGATGGCAAGAGATGCTACTTGTGAGGATGCACCACCTGCATGGGGAGAAGAACTTTTCCTGATGCTATGTAAACATGTACTGGCAGAGCTTTAGATATTAATCCAGAGCTAACAGGGCCTGGCTGAAGAAATTAAGGAGCCAATGTGGGAAGAGCTTTTGTTTCAATTAAAGATACACCTTGTTCACATCAGTCCTTGGAAGAAGTTGTGATGTGTCCTTGACAAACCTTGTACTCACAGGACTGCTCTCAAAGCTAAATAGCCTAGCTCTAGCAGAATTACCTGGGTCAAAGCATCCTCTTCCACTGGAGACACAAACATGCATTTTAGCTGGTGGAGTCTGCTGCACCCTGAAATTGAAGGACTGGTTTACCAAAGTTCACAATATTTGTGACGAGTATCTCTGAGATCTGATTCACCAGATATCATGAACTTAATTCACCCATATAAGTCCAGCCCAGGATACCTCTGCACTCAGACTCTACACATTGCCCAGGAACAGAGCCAGGTACAAGCAAGGTGGCATTTGCACCTGGCTCAGTACATGAAATAGAAGCTCTTTCCAAGCCAGTAAGGAGGAGATGCTTCCCCAGCCACACCGGTGAGCAGTCTGGCAGTCTCCCATCTCAATCCACAGGGCAAAAGGAACACTCCTGCCCTGTGGTGCTCACCTCCCTGGCAGCCTGGAGCTCTCCATGCGTGAATGACATGGTTTTCATGACGATGTCAATGACAGAGAAAGGAAAACAAATGAACTCTGAATTTTTAATGCAAGGCTATCTGTACCATATGAGAGAATGACAACATTTTGTTGCTGAGATGGCAAGGCATAATTTTAATTATTTTTCAAATAAATACAATGCTTAGATTTACATTTTGCTGATTTAACAATTTGTGAAACTTTGACATAATCGTTAAAGTTATTTTTTTTCAAGCTACATAAGAGCACTCTATATAAAAATACTTCTTTAAATGAAACATTTAAAAAAACATTATTAGATCTTTGAAATGCCATAGTCCTATTATACTTCATAATGCAAAAAGGTTAGCAGCACAGATATTTCAGTACTCTTTCCAATTGCATACACTCATTTAAATGTTTAATTTTGATTTTTTTCCCCCCCTTGGAAGTATTTCATCTTAACTTTAAAGCAAATGGACTCGCATAAAAGCAATATAGAATGAAAATAAACTCTGGTATCATTATATTCACATGCGAAGTGTTTACCACTGAAGAGTGATTTACAATTTATGTTTATACTTAGTGCAATAAAAATAAAACCAAAATGCATATATCATGTTTGACATTTTAGGTATTTTCTAGACATCACTTTCTCCCCCCCCCCAAGAAAAAAAAAAACAACCCACATTTTCAAAATCATACAGTGATTTTGAGTGCATTGATGTTTGGTTGCTCTATCTGCTACTTCTCTTGCCCCAGTTTTGTGAAGATTTGCTAAACGCAGTTCCCACTGATTAGAAAAGGTTGTTAATTCTCTGAGCTTCAAAAAAAAATACTCCAGGATAATGCAGGATGATAAACCAAAGACTCAGACAGCAGAAGCTGTTGGCCACTACTGAGAACGTTGGTTATAAAGTTCCATTTTCTTCTTGCATAGATAGCAAGACATCCTCAAAATTTCCTGAGAGTTCCACCAAGAGAGGTGAGAGAGGATAATTAGACCTTTATTTATAGTGGGTTTACATCTCCATATCTGCTCTTTGATGATACGTTTCATCTCCTGTTTCAATGGAAGTACTCATATGCAATATGTAGTCTGTCATCACATATTTCTATACAGATTTCTTAAACTCTTCTGACCACAAATAAAGGAGTTGTGTCTGACATGCTATGATTTACAGGACATATTCTGGAGACCAAGCCCTAAGCCCATCATTCTGGATGGCAAGAAGGGAAAGAAACTAACTGTTGGGGCATCAATAATGCCCCAGGGCATCTCCTCTTCCACATGTGACTTCCTGATTGTGCTTTAGAGACAAAAGTTTCCCACTGCAGAACCAGGAAAGGATATGTATTAGCAAGTCCATTCCTACTGAAGGGGAGCACAAATTATAAATCGTAATATGACAACAAATGAGCATCAGTATAGCCTTGCAGCATCTTTCTCCCCAAAAAGCTGTACTAAAAGTTGGTTTTCACGGACATCTAGCAATGGCTCACCCAGCTTTGCATGTGGGAACTGGAATTATTTGATCCTACACAGTCCATGGAGACACTCTGATCTTGCTGGATTTTCAGCTGGGCTCTGCTAGGAGGCTGCTAAATACATCTTATTTATTTTATACACTTAATTATCAACTTGATATGCTAGAGGCAGGATTAAGACCTCTCATTAAAATACCTACACACAAAATTTGGGACAATTCTGGTTAAATTTCATCAGGTGGAATGGTATATATTGGCTCTGTTGCAGCTGGCCTTAAATTGAATTTTGCCCAAGTGGAAAGGAGACTGTTGTATGCACGCTCAGAAGTGGGCCTGAATCTCTCTTACATTTCTTGCCTTCCCACTCTATTACATTGTTAGTTGGTCTCTGCCTGTGGTGATGAACATGGTATTTAGGTCAATGTGTTCTTTGTTAATTGCATTAGCCATGTGCCCAAGACTTAGGCTTCCTCTTCTCCCGGAACTGCCTTTGGCTATTAACATGTGGTCTTTAAATATATTTCACTCTTAACAGTGTACTTAATCTGTCAGGTGAGACGGATAGAGTCTGTTTTAGGCAGGGTAAGATGATCAGTGGAATGCTAATTACAAAATTCACATGGGTAGAGAGACCCCTTTTTATAAAGAAACACAAGCCATTTTATATGCTATTTTTTATACTGAGTCCCCAAAGGCAGAGAGGAGAATTACGTATGTGTTCTGCATATGAGAACAAGTTATATTCAGCATACTTAATTTTTTTTATTGCTGCAACATCTTTTGGAACTTTGCTTTGTAAATGGGATATTTTCCCTTGGGGACGGGGAAAAAAAAGTACAATATTGGCTTCTTCCAAGGGTTTTTTTGTTTTTGCTTAATTCACATTTTATTAGCATAATTTTTCCTCACATGATAGCAGAGATCAGAACAGAAGTGCCTTCAAACCCACACCCACATACAAGTATATATCTCCTGAAACATATTCAGCAAATGGAGAACTGTTTCTGGCTTGGAAAATGAAAATTACTCTACTAGTTGTATGGCAAAGTCCAGCAGAAGCAGTTGCATTACTTAAACTAGGGGCATCAAAATCAAAAACTTTGAGATGTCTATATTTAGATGTAAGGAAAAATGCCTTCTCCCTCTTTATTTATTGAATGTCATTGGATCCTACATACTAGCCAAAATCGAGACAGCCATCTGATAATGAATTATTGAATTTCAACACCAGCAGAGACTAGAAGTTTCGTTTAGCTAAACTGAAGTTTTGAGTTTAACTTTATTCCCAAGGACATTCACTACATTTTGAGCAGGAAATAAATATCCTGAAACTATTCAACTTTGAAAGATAGTATTTGTTCTGAATGCCTCAAGATTAGGGCTTGTAAAATACTTGTCAGAGGACTTCATCCCTTTCCCTGGTGCTGGGCCCATCACCGCTCTGTCCAGGCAGCTGTGGGGTAGCGTTCCAGGAGTGCGTTCCTCAGCTGGGCTGTGTGGATCTTGTCTCTGGTCTCCACAGTGCAGGTGACCTGGGAAAAGAATTAGGAACATTCCTGATGGCATGACAGCAATCTCAGACAAAGGCATTTCAAATGAAGTCCTAAAATACGCTCGTAAAAGCAAAACAATCAGCTCAATGTAAAAATTCTCGACCTCACATCCCCTGTCTATGCAGGTAAGAAAACTGATATCACAGACATCTGGGGCTCTTCCAGCCCTTCTGCATGGTCTTAAAACCTTCCAACAGCCCTACTTTTTATTGCCTTTGAAGTCTGAAGAAGATAGAATGATCCTCTACTGGCTCCTGGACACAGGTATTTGTCTACTGTTGGCCTCCCTGAAGCGATCCGTTAGCAGCTTAATTCTGTGGGGTATGTACATGGTGCTGCTGCCACCTCACCCATCTCTGACTCTGACCTCATCCCCCATTTCCCATATTCCTGGTCAGTGTTTTTTCCATCCTTCAAGCTTTTTATATTCTCCTCCTCCTCTTTCTCATGGAGCTATCCCCCAGTCCTTTATTGTCTCTGTAGTATTCTGGCTGGTTTCATATGCTCATACACCTTCTTGTTTTACTCTGATTTTTGTTTGCTCATTGACTTACTTCTAGTTTTCTGTTATGGTTGTTCTGCTGCTAAATCAAACTAAATACAGGTAAACCTAATCTTGATAGTTTTATTTTTGTTCTTCACTTGCCTACACAAGTATTATTGACAATCCTGTCATGCAGCCACTGAAAACAATAACTTCAATGCCATTTTTTCAATACTTCCTTAATCCCTCTTTTCTACATACTCACATCTCTGCTGCATCGTATGTAAATCTCTGCACTACTAAAGGTGAGGCACCAATGCGAAGGTGCAGATGGAAGATCGTACTTCACAATTTTGGACTACTAACTTCTGTCACCACTGACCCTGCTGGAATTATCACCGATGTTGAAAGTGCCACATGGAAAAAAGACCTCACAGAAACATGGAAATCTAGCGAGGAAGGGATCCAAGATGAGTCACAGTGCAACAACAGAGAGTTTATTGTAACGGGCAAATCTACAGAGAATAGAGGAAAAACTGGTCATGGTAACCTTAAGGTGGACTACCAGAGAAAGATGCCCTGTACAATGTTCCTATCAGAGCTGCACCCCTTACAGAAAGCAAGAAGGCAAAAAAAAAATTTGTCTCTACTCAAATATGTTTATGAGGACATTTCTAAATAAGAACTTTGTGAATTCATGTTTCCAGGAACAAGCTTAAAATAATAAATCTTTAGAAAAATTAATGAATGAGAAGACAAAGCACTAACTCCAGGTTATTTTAAACAGCCATGACCTCACTTAATTTGAAAATTTGCTATAGCTTCTTAAATATTTATCACAAAATAAGCCACGTTTCTGATCTGTTTCCATAATTCTTCTCCTCTTATCCTGAAAATAGTTCTATTATTGTTTGGTTCTTTGGAACACGAATTAGATGCTAATTTCTTTCTCCTCTGAAAAAGTAGGATTTAGTCTTGAGAATGACAGTCAGAGAAGACAATTAATAATGAGAGAAGAGGAGAGAACACAAAGACTGGGAAAATTACCTAAAGGATATCGAGGCATCAAATACCCATTATCCTTTCCATGAGTCATATAAAATCCCTAAACTTTGCAGCCATATCTTCAAGGGCACACACTCATCTCTCATGGAATTTAATTTAAAATTTAATTTAAAAAAGCAAATGTTTTCCCCTTCCAGTACAAAGACAGTAATCATGCCAGTTTTGTCCTGAGCAAATCCGTTGCTGCACTTGGAATCAGACTGGACTTGCAAGGCTCAGCTTTGAATGTTTGGCTCAGCTTTGAATGTTTGGCAGCAATCATTTACTCTGTCCTGGAAGCAAGCTTGGGAAAGCATTTTGATTTACAGAGCTAACTATCCTCCTCTCTGCCCTTTTCTTTCTGCTAATGATTGAAGCCAGACAGACTTGGACAGATTGGAGCCAGAGAGCTTGTAAACAGTTTGAATAAATTGTTCTGTGCATGCACAGCATCCAACACGTGATATGGCCATTAATATTCTGTAGTGTATTATAAAAGTAATAACAACAGCAGCAGCAGCAGTAATGAACAACTCCAGAAATTTACCTGATTTTTCACATTTGTCAAATAGAGGAAGAGAGAACATTTGCTCACAACAGGAGCAAACAGAGAACAACTCTACACTTTAGAGCAGCTACAGATCTAAACAACAAAGGTGGCAAGTATTTGCTTTCTTGCTTAGACTAGGCAGTTTCACCTTCACAGAGCTCCTCTCTCTTAGTCACTTCAGCTAGGAAGTATGATTTCTGTGAGTGTCCAACAAGGCAGTCCTCATGATTGGGGTGTTATATAAGGATTATACTTATCTAGGATGAATAGTCACTACTAGCTACAGGAGGTTGCATATCTACTGGTGCACTAAGAGTAAGTGCTCCAAATTGGTCTTATTTAAAAACAAATAACCTATTGCCTGATGTTTCTTATACTCCAGACAAGCTAACCCGCGACAACGACAGAAAACTTTACTTTAAATTTGTTTCAAACCCATAAGCCCTCAGTGCTAGACAGAGGCATTTTGATCCAGCAGCACTCTCTTGGACTGCAGAACCATGTTTGCACAGCAGGCTTTTCTTTTCTGTATGTCAAAGAACATACACAAAAACAACAACAGAAATGAGTACATTTGAATCGATGCATTCTCTCTCCTGCATATTGTATCCTTGCTGGATTAAAAAGTAATGATAACTAAAAAAAAATCTGCTCCTGTAAGACCATCAAAATAACCAGCCAGATGGATTTTCTACTGCATTTAGAGTATACGCTCTCTGTGGCAGGTAATCTAAAGATTGATTCCAGCCGAAGGGTTTAGTTAGCCTGTTGGGGTTTTTTATGGCAAGCCTACAAGTAATGGAAGGCCGAACAGTCTTCACTGAATATTGATGTCTTGTAGGTTTTATTTAACAACCAGAAATAACTGAGGGGGCAGGACAAAGGCTGAAAAAAGATAAAGGAAAAAATTGATCACAAGTTATTACTCTGTGCAACGCTGAAATCCAGATGCATGATTTCAGATATTCATAGGAATTAATTCCATTTCAAAGAGAGGAAAGTTCATAACTTCACAAAAGGAGGAAATTTGCAAAGTTCTGTGCTAAACACTTTGGGCAACAGGGTGAGCACCTCTGCTCCCCTTTAACTGAAAGTCTCACATGTGGACACTTTGCCTTTTATATCGTATTTTTCTAGATACTAAAAATTAATTTAATGTGCCTCTCAACTCCTTGATGCCTGATATCTGTAGGTTACGTATGCAAGTAAAGATATTGGGCGAACATACTGAGCTGACACTAGAGAGCAGAGGAAATGTGAGTAGCGTTGCTTAATCAAAAGATTTCAGTCTTTTGTGCTTTTCCAGGCTCCATGTAAAAATAGATCATAACTAACTAGTGCAATTCCTTATGTCACTGACTCATCCACTGAACCTTTGTATCCCTCTTCTTTAATCCTAGAAATTATATTAATCATCTTCTAAACTGTTCGTCTTGTAGGATTCAGATAACTCAATATGCATGATACACCATGCTCAACAATAGTATAGGTTTGTTTGTACTAAAAACACTGGAGTTAGAAATTAAAACTTTCTTTCTATACACTGGTTTCAGTTCTACAAATAAAGCAAGACTTTTCATTTATATTAAAAAAATTGACAACAGGGCAATTTTCTGAATTATTCAGTAAACAACCACTGTAGGTTACTACACGTTACAGATTATTTGGCAACAGCACTCTAGTTTATAGTTGGGGATCAGCTGACAGGTATTCCCCAAGGTCAGTGCAATGCAATGCTTGGGAAAGAGCGCAACAGCTGCCACAGCTGTGACTTGGTTGTGCAACCTGAGCCCTTACCTTTTGTCATACTCTTGCATTCACATTGGTGAGCATGAGCACAAACAAGTTACCGTCGCATTACCTAAGTCAGATAATAATCCAACAGGTCTACCCTTAGCCTCCCCAGACTCCGGTTCTTATTTCTATAACCGGGACAGGCTATGCTGTACCACATTAGTCTGCTGTTGAATGCTGTTAAAGAAAATGACCAAATTGCTTTGGAGAGCCTCGCAAGACATGTGTCGTCAAACTTCCCATTCCAAACATCTCCATTTTGCAGATGGGGAACTGAAGCATTGAAACAGTGCCTTACCCAGGTCATGCAGGAAATGCTTGAGGAGTGAGAGCATCCTTCTCATAGCTGGACAGCTGCGTGCTCCTCTCTACTCTTTTCATAGGACAATAATACAGAATATGTTGGCAACTGGGGACTCTAATCCAAAATATTGTCCTCCAGCCTTTTACAAAATGCAAGTTGGCCCAAAGGAATTTACTCAAATTGACCAGAGCAGACTCAAATAATTGAATGAGTTCTGGCCTGAGGTGAATAAACTGTATGGGAATACCAGGTATTACACTACACAAAGTGATCCAGGAAACCCAGCATTGTTGGAACAATGTGTAATGTTATCATAGAGAAAAAGCAACATTTGATTTATGAATTAGTATTTTGTTGCACAGTCAGAGAGAGAAGTAATGTAATGGATGTTTTTTTACAACTGATCTCTCCTGAGTTATTTAAAACAACAGCAGAGTTAAGCTCCAGAGAGCTGTATCTAGTTAGCTGGTGATACTGGATGATTTTCCTTAGCTCTGATCTTTATTTTTGTTTAGAAATTCCTGGTCATATAACCTGCTTCAATAGCTATAAAATGTGAAGTCTACCAGACTGGTTATTTCTATGATTTGCTAGGAGCTATCTATTTCAATATTGGGGACTTTGGAAGCCATTTCCTAACTGCTCAGGTAAGAGTGAATTAGGATATAGTCCTCTGCAAGACAGAAATCCAGTATGAGCCACAAGGAAAGAGAAACTAAACAGAAGGCACTATCGAAAAGAAACTCCCATATTGTTCCAAATAACATGACCAGCCATTTCCATTGCACAGTGCACTTCATTAAGAATCAGCTGAATCTAATGTAGCCATAATCCCTTTTATAAAAAAAAATTAAAAACTCCTATTTTTGCCAGTAAAATGTTTCAAAAATTATTTTTCCAGAAGTGTAGTTTGAACATAACACTCCCTTTTAGAAAGTCCTTACTACTCCATGCAGTCAGACTATCAGCAAGGATCTTCCCATGGAGTGTTCCAAACATGCACCAGATGAATAAACACTAACCCAGAAAGGCATTTCACTAGAGGTGAAAAAAAATGCTCTGTCTTCCTGATAAGCAGTGACTAGAAGCCAAGTTTCTCTGCTTTGGAAATGAAGGGGTAAATCTAAAAGGATGATTAAATACTGAGATGACAATCTTGACAGGACTGGTTTAATGTTTTAAATAAGCCACTACACTTACTGCTCTGTTCTGTCAAACACTTCATCTATAGTCACATTTGAAAGCATGTATTAGAGTGGAGCAGGTAGCTGTAACGCCTTTCTTATGATTACCACCAGTTCAACACATGATAATTCGGTTCTTGATCCAGATTTAAATGCACGCTTAATTTAACGTGCTGTGATTTACACTGATTAAAATGATACAAAGGTCTTTGCAGATCTGCTTTAGTAGAAAATGCTTAAAGTGCTTTGGTGGCACAAGGTTTTGGCTCTTAAAAGCAACAAAGTAAAAAGCAAAACCTCCCCCATGTATATCAGCTTTAGTATGAAAATATGTACATTTTTCTCTAACAGGTTAGAGCAAATTCATTGTGATACTTAAAGATAAATTGAATGCTCTACCCTTTTTGATTACCCTTAGTTTAGTTTTCAAAGAAAAGCTTCACAATTCACTAGGTGTCACCAGATAGAGCTGACTCCAAAGTCACTGAGGTCTATAAATCTGGATCACTACTTTGTACTTCACATCTAGTTATCCAACAGCCTCTTGCAGGCTGATTAAAAGGCATAATGCAAATCCAACATCCAATTAAATTATTCAGGGACACAAATTCCTCGCTTCAACCCTCTTGTAGTACAACACTGTCAGATTCTTGGTGGACAGTCAGTAAAAATACGTTGTATTTAAAGTGCAAATAATATCGCATGCCACTTTTTCATTCAGGGACTGTATTTACTGATTAAATTGCCTCATTGGGAGAAGTTGCAAGAGCAATGGAAAATTGTTCTAACATTCTTAATCAAAAAGTAAGAGAGTGGATTTTGTTTAATTTACTTAGTAACATTAATAAAATTTACAAGCCTTACTTCATAAAAATCACATTGAAAACTTGAGTCACAGGGTTTGTCAAATCTAGCCTTCAGTAAAAAGTTTTTTCAGAGCTCAGTTAGTCACTGAATCAGAGGGATTTGTCTACCCCATGCAGTGTCACGCTATCTTCAAGTTACCCGAACAACTAAACTGGCCTATTGTTATGGCAAACTGCTGAACAAAGTAGTTTTAGCCCTAGACACTTGAGAAAACTGATAATACCATGTTCTGAAAGATGTTGTGAACTTCACTGTAGTCCTTTGCTATAGGCATCTCTAATCTAACCTGTTCTTCATATCTGCAAGTGAAAATACTAGGCAGGTTTTTGCATGCCGCTGGGAAATTAGATTTATATGCCAAAATAAGAAGAACTCACTTACTCAATGGCATTACTGAATTCCAGTTATGAGCCTGTTTAGCAAAGATCCCTAATTTGACTTCCATCTATAATTTCACAAACCAAGTCAGGGTGGACTCGAACAGCACTAGCATGAATCAGTGGGACCACACCCTTGCCAAACCAGTTGAAATAAGAGACATGCCATGAGACAAATGACTCTTATAAGAGATGCCATTAAGTGATAACACATCGTTACTTTTACTCTACCAAATATTCAACAAAGGAATAATGATTTTTCGCTGTGCTCTCTGTGGATAAGGTACAAAACTGAGGCCCTAGTTAAAAATGCAGATTCTTTAAAAGTAAGGGTGTTCAAGTTACTTTAAGACAAATTGATCCTGGATAATTACAGCCAGCCTACACAGCTGGCTTTTCATGTTCTGGACGGATGCTGCAGCTTGCTCACCACCTCCAACACACCACCACGCACGTAATGAATGTTTGCAATAGTAACAGCTGGAGTATTTCACCCACGGTATTGCAATAGCAGGTAAAACAAGTCCTGCATTATTCCTATGCCTGCTAAGTGTTTGGTGAGGCAAGATGCTGTATAACACAGAAGAAATTATCTGCCACACTGCTCCCCAGATCACTGTGCACACTCTGTTGGATGACTTCAACATAGCCGTATGGAGATAGAGGAAAACAAAGGAAACTAGGGGAGGACAGTACTGCTAGAGAAACTGAAAGTGCATCTCATCTTACCTCAACAGTGAAGAGCTCAGATGTCACAAACGTGCGTTCTTGTTTGATATCCAAAACTCTAGATCAAATAAAGGATACATTAGAGATCACAAAAATCCTTTGTCATTGTAGAATAGTTTCTGTAAGTGTTTGGACAGTAGCTATCTTTGCTGCTTTCTGTATTAGACAGAATTCTGTGCTGCAAAGGTTCTTTCAGATTGGAATAGAAATGAAGGAAATAAAAGTTTTTCTGAAATATAACAAGAAAAAATCCTTTGATTAATTAGTTACTTACAGATTTGCCTTCAGAGAATATTTGGAAACATGTCCAAATCTTTAATAATCTTTGTGCTATTCTGTGATTATATTTCCCTACTAGTACTGTGATTTACCTTGCTTCTTCCCGAGCCAAGATCTCCAGTAGCTTTGAAATGTCTCCTGGGCAGTCAGAAAGCACAAGGAAAAATCTGCAGACTCTGTTATCGAGGGTCAGGGCACGAACTATGCACTGTTGCAGCAAATGTAACTCCAAATTTCCACTGCATATAACAATTGCCACTCTGAAAACAGAGAGAAAAATAGGGGGTTTGATTAGCATGTGTCCATGCAAACGAACTGTAAATCACAGACACTGCATTCAATATCAGCTTAAAATCTACTAGGACTGCCCTTCAATAAATGTGTGTTATATGTCAGAGTGGCTCCTGGCTGTAGTATCAATTGTGGGCAGGCAATGGGAGCCTAGAAGCTGGCTGCATTAGTTGGTCTGAAACTTGGTTTTCATTTTGCGTTTCCTGGAGATTTTAGTTTTGTTAGATATAGTTAGCTGGAGAATTCTAGTTCTGTTTCAAATTTTAACAATGTGATATCATTTTTCCCTGGAAAAATGTGAGTCTCAGCATCTTAATGGTTAGATTAATGTATGCTCAAGGTTTTCTGTAACGGTTAATTAAGTCCATCTCAACTCTGCCAAATGAGTCCAGAAATGTTTGAAGAGCAAATGAAGAGGCACATGGTTAGTCTGTGATAATGTCTGTCTGCAGAGTCAAACCTGACCTCTTTAAACCCAAACCTTTGCATTTTTCTTTTTATTTTAGCTGTACAGAATTGAAATTTGTTGCTGCTCTGTATGCATTCTGTCAGCCTTTTCCAAATAATTGTCTCAGCAGTATTTTAGTGTACAATGCTGTGTATTAGAAATTTTATTTTGTCTTGAGTGTACATGTATTTAAATACATCCCGGGATATGTCCTGAGCTAAGGCTCAATCTGCTTAAGTACTGAGCACTCAAGCTCAGATGCAAGATGGCACTTACCCACATGTTTAACACTAAGCACAAGAGTAATCCCATTGACTATCTGGGCAGGAGTTCTCAGGGCCGGGAGGCAGGTGTCACTGAGTGACTGCAGAAGACAGCCTAGCTCATGTCCCAACACATACAGGGCTGATTTCCACAAGTGGAATGAGAGAATGCAACAGGCTGACAGGAGCAGGGTGCTCTTCTGGACATGACCATACCTCATGGAGCTGGTGTAACTGCCTTTCCCCTAACCATTTGAGAATACAGCAAAACTACAAGATCTGTCTTTTTCAGCATGGTCTTCTGACCTGTAAGTAGTCTCTTCAGCCTGAAGTAGATATCACAGACAGGCTCACTGCCAGTTCAGTGGCAGGAACTGCCTTGTCACTCACAAAACAAGCAGCTTCTCTGTTGCCTGGGGCCAAGGCACTCAACCCCATGCTTTTGCCACAGTTCCCTGTTTGTAACAGCTGCCACACCTTTTACCCTTCAACTCCGGCAGCTTCCCTGCAACCAGTGCGGCAAGTCCAATGGCCCCTTCTGCATCAACCGTGGCTCGCTCATACTCCAGCAATCTCAGCATTGAAATGAGGATGTCCTCCTCCCTGAAGGCAGAAGAGTTACATCAAAACAAAGCAGAACAGCTACCAAAAGCAGAAAACAGTACATTTATGTATAAAGAGATTCCTTCTATCCTCCTGGGTACACAACAGCCCCAAGGTGGTATTACAGCAAGCTCTGCTGGTGAGGGTGAGTGTGCATCTCAGCCTTGTTATTAACTAGAAGACAGGATGGCATTTTTTACTAGAACCATCATGCCAGCTAAATCCTAGTGGTAAGTATATTCTGCTAACTTGGGCTTTCAGTGAAGGTTTAGAAGAGTTTTGCCAAAAGCTGCCTTCAAGTGTTGCAGAAAGCAACAAGGACAAATTTTACACCCAGAGCATCACCAGGTACTAGCAGCAGGTGAAGTCTTGGCCAAAGTGGTCAGATATGTGGGACTGGGTTCAACGCTTTCAGTTCCTCTCTTGAAAGGAAAGGCACCCCACCACCACCATGCTCTCACAGAGTGTGCATGATCGCAGCTCCTGCCAACCTGTTCTCCACTATACATGAAAAACAACCATACTCTGGTGGTACAGCACATTTTTCGTATATAGCTATGTTCACCCAGTATTATTCATTTCACTGCTTTTCTTCAGTTACCTCACAGCAACAACTTTATCCACAAGTTTCCCAGTCAGCTGCAAAGAATTGCTGCCAAAGCGAAGCCCGCTCACATCTGCGGATTTCAAAAGACGAAAATATGAAGCTGGATTTAGACAAGTTCAACATTTTTTAGAGTCCTGACTGTTTTGTGCCCTTAATGAGCACAACACGGTGTTGCTATATGATCTTAAGTTTTCTTGATTTTTTGTATGACAAAAACGCATTTGGTGATGAAAGACCAATTCTCCCAGGAAGATTTTGTCATTTTGGACTCCTTAAGAAAACTGTGATTCTTCACTGGCACAGTCACAATGCAAGAGTTACTCTGCAGCCCAGTGCTTTTCACTGGACAACAAGTCCTGAAGCAGAGAGGAACCCAGTGTGGCACTGGGTTTGTTAGCTGCAGTAGGACAGTTAGCAAAGGAGTGCAGAGACAGACAGAGCTTACAGAGAAACTTAACAAGTTGTTTGTTTATAAAAGTCCCATTTAAACCAAAGCTTCTAGAGATTTGAACATCAGGTAAACAGGACATTCTTAAATTGCTTAACAGCTGAGGGTTTTTTGAGTAAATGATATGGAAACAACTGTATCATTTATAAATGCTGTTGTTCCAAGAACAGTTTTGTGAGCAAATATTTAAGAATCGCAATTTCCTGCCTTTTTAAAAATTAATCTTTTACACAAGAGTTTTCCCATTGACTTCACTGGTTAAGATGCTGCTTGTGAGCACAATAGTTAGATAAATACTCTTATATTTCTAAGTATTCACCTGAACATTTTATGTACACTGGAAATAGTATTATATCCCAGGGTGATGGTGGGGAAAATGTGGCAGAAGTTGCCCTTACAGCATGAATTAAATTCTGACCCTTCAGAGGTTTCATTTAAAATATGTTTGAACTAAATTAATGAGAAAAAAATACAGTTAGAGAAATCTATGAAAAACTTTGTTTTGCTTCCAAAAGAATAATCCATTTTATTACCTCCATAAAAGTGATGATTACTGCAAGCCTGGTCTTCAATAGGGTGGCCAGCCTTTAAGGATTGTTGCAATACAGGGAAACTTTCAGATTCAACCCCCTGGGGAAGACAAGTGTTGTCACTTTTTTATTTATCCAGTTATAACAGAAGTCACTACCAAAATGGACATCGATAAAGTTACACAAAGTTTCCTCTTAGAATTAACAATTAATTTCAAATTGCATAATAACTGTGCTATCACTAAATCTATCATGTGGCTTATTTGGGGCCAAACTTTTCCTGTAAGAAATTGGTTCAAAACACAGAACCGGATTTTATTTGCTTTGGAAGAGTCTTACCACATTTTTTTTTCTTAAATCCAGACAAGCAGCCAAGGGGCAGGAGGCTTCCCATGCTTTCAGTGGCTCTTGTCCTAGGTGAAGCCCACAGGATCAGATAGCCCCTATCGCCAGCATATGCATTCTCTGACAGTGTATCACTAGATACCAGCACAGTGTTATCACTAGCGACCAGAGACTTTTGAAAATAGCTGTGGTGAAAGCCGTCAAAATGCAACACTTCATTGGTGAAAGGAAACTTACAATTACAGAAATATGCGGGTTGAGGTGTTTGAGTGCAGCAGCTGATCCTGCCAGCAAGCCACAGTGGCCTCCTGCAGGGAAAATCACTGCATCCAGCTTTGGCACCTGCTCATACACTTCCAGCCCCACGGTTCCCAGGCCCGACAGGTAGACAGCACTATCCTCCCTGTGGGAAGGAAGGGCACAGCTCAGCAGGGTTCACAGCTGTCAACACAATCATAGTTCAGTCTACTACTTTAAAGATATTTTTCAGCAGAAAAAGATATATGCAAGTGTAAATCAACAGCAGGAGAGCAGGAGGAGCTACAACAAGACACTGCCATCAGACAGACCATTGCATGCTGTGTAAAGTGTGACATTATCCACCAGGAGAAAACTTGCACTGTTGATAAACCCCCCAAATAGCCTTCAGGGCAAAGAGCACATATCTCTGTTGTTACCAGTATCAGCTGCTTACAGAGCTGGTAAGACAGAAGTAATTTTTCCATTGCTGTCACTACCTTATACTTCATAAATATTAAACGTGTCAGTCCAAACTAAAGGCAAAGCCTCAGGAGGAGGTCTCTGTATTTATAAGTGGAATTTCGTGTTTGTGATAAATGGGAATTTTCATGAAATCTAAGCGCTGCGTTCAACCTCACAACACCAAACAGATTGCTACAGAGTTGTCTTTCCACAAGCCAGGGCCAATATCTGATACCTTCATATTACTCTGGAAAACTCTGGAAGGATAAGAGAAGCATTTATTTGTGCCAAAATACTCACTGGTAAAACACTTTCAGGCAAAGGTAATCTAGTGAGCAGAATAGGGACAAATAGAGTCAAAAGACTCAAAGAGTTCACTGTACAGTCAAACAATTGACTTGGATCTATTTCTAAAAGATGTTTTGTGTTTTATTTAAAAGTTAGCAATGATGTAAATGTAGAATGATATATGAATGAAAAATATGAGACCTCTGTATGCCTGTTCTTTTTTTTCTAGCAAATGGATAAGCAAACAGAATTACAGATGTAATGACTTCACTTGATTTACTTGACAGGGAACATTTGGGTACTAAGAAGCTATGCTTTTATTACTGTTAAACATGCACAGAGAGGCTCGACACAGGAGCCCAGAATTCCTGCAAGGTGGAGACCAAGGTCCTCTTGAGAAGTTACCTCACATATATAGCAAAATGCAGCAGATTTGTCAGGGCAAGAGTCTGTGTAACTGCACGAGAAAGGGTGGGATGAATGAACTTTCATTCTTGTAGCACAGCTAAAGATGAAGGCAGGAAATCAGAGTGGGATGGGTAACTGAACCCTTGAAATTATTGTCTTTATCAAGATGCCGAAGGAGCTCTCCCCTCCTTCTTATATGTGACACAATATATCACCGCTCTCCTGAACAACTCTTCTGGTGCCTTATTTGCAAATAAGATTCAGAACTGAGGTTGTGGAGTTACCCCTGCCATGGTTAGGTGGGAAGCCATGAGGACATGTAAAAATTAATGAGGACCTGGGATATTCAATTTACGAGTAAATCTTCTCTAATAACTGAAAATTCTGTCCAAAGGAGACTTCTCTGGGCATGGAGATTTATTAGAATTTTGAATTAATGTTTCATGTTTTCCTTGCTAACATCTGGTTAGAACACCAGTTCACTGATCAGCCTTCAGCTTTTTATAATAAAATGGGTTATTTTATTTGCACTGCGACTGATTACTTTTGCTTCGTGAAAGCAAACATACCTTTGTATCAGATGCTGTTGGAGGAAAATCAAGGAAAAGGGCAGATAAATCTAAAGGCTACAGATTTAAACAAGCATTTTTGAGTCAGAGCCAGAAATTTGCCCGTTTGCCTTCTGAAATGTGTGGTACATCAGCAACTGAATATGGGCTGTCAGCCTTCAGTTTCCCAATGAGATTTTGACGTGGCAGCTAGTAGGCTCTGTACCCCTGTTTTCCAAATAAAGTACTTGAAAGCTATCAGCTGTCCTTGCTAGAGTAAGAGAGTAACTAGACCACAAATGAATGAGGACCAAGTCTGATCAGTATTTGGATATGGAGTTACACAAAAAACCCCCTGGGCTCTCGAGGAAGGAAGGTGTGTAATTCAACCTGAAGCACCCTTACCTCTCTGATTCACAAATCAGTCTTTCTCACATCATGCCAGAGGTACTGTGTTAATTACTGGCAATATTCACATTGCATTGCTAATGAGATGCTGAACACTATAGTTATGTTAAATCCCATGTTACCCAGGCAGCAATTACGTAGACTTAATGATTGAATTCCAACTTGAAAAATCACATTTCCTTCCTTGAATTTCACGGGAAGTTGCAGTTGGATAAAAAGTTTCCTTCCTCTAATTGAACTCTTGCATGATCATTTTCATAACACAGTATTTTGATTACACTCAAGAAATTGGAAGAACTGACATTGACACACCCAACTGTAGGATACCACCTGCGTAGGTAAAACAAGACAGTCATGTAATGTCTACTTCAGGAAGGAAAGAATGAATTGTTCCTTAAGGAGACCCAGAGACCAAATTGCTGGGGATTTTATGCAAGGTAGATTTAAACTGAAATAAAATGACATTTCAGAAGTTCCACTTTAAAGCACAGCTAATCAACTTATGTTTTACAGACGGCTTTGTCAAGTGACGATGAATGCGTTTTCAGACACATTGAAGAAGACTGACTATTCATATGTGCATACATCTCTCTAGGAAAGCTCTCCCAGTCTACACCTAACAAAATACATTTCAGGCATCCCATTATGAGAAGGTTCACAACTGTAGTGGCATTGTTTTTCTTTTTTTTTTTTTTCTCCAGAATGTGAAAAATTGCATCTGTGAGGTTTTAATTAAACATAGTAATTAATTAAACAGTCCCTGGAGCTTCATGAACCTGGAGAATATCTACCTTATGTAACATAAATAATTATTTTGGAGGAGGGGAAGAGTAAACATGAAATTACAACAAAGTAATTTAGTTCTTACGTGCAAGTGTGATGGCTGATGAAGCCAGCTGGGAGTTAACACATCGATTGAAAAATAGCTGTCAGAAATTTGGAAATCACAAAGTCATGGAAAACTGTGGCTTTCAAAGAGACACTAAATAAGTTCAAAATTCAGTAGGATCTAGGGCACCTCATTCCCTCAGGTTTCTTTGAAAGACTCAGTCTGGGACAAGGCTGTGCCCATGGTGGCAGACGAGGCACAGCAACTGGCCCTGTGGGTCGTTTGCTGTCAGCAGAACTAGCAGTGCCACTGAAGAGTACAGTTTTTAATACTGCCTTCCCAATAAACCATCTGGGAAAGAAGCGAGTACTTTCTCTGTTCTGCTCATTCCAGGATCCTCTTTCCAAGCAACATTACTCATTATTTCTATGTTTAATGCAGTAGTGCCTAGGAGCCCAGGGGGAACAGGCACTCACTGCAGTAGGTGCTGTAAAAACACAAAGTGGTTGATAAAGCCTCTCCCTGGCAATGGGGAGGGAGAATAATATTCCAGCTCAGTGCATCAGAGGGACCACCAGCTACCTCATGGCTAATGATTTGCCCATCTGCACTTCTGGAAATCTTACTTGGAAAAAAAAAAAAAAAAAAGAAAAAATAAAGGAAAAGCAGAAGAGACTGCAGAGAGAAAAGGAAAAAACAGGGAAAAGGACCGGTTTTAAATATTTTTTGCCTCTCTTACCTTATTCTAATCATGTTTTTATTAGATCCAGCTTGTTCAACGACTTCAGATAGGTCAAACAAATTCATACTCATCCTTAGCTACTTCAAATATGTGTGTGAAGTAGCCTTTTCATCATCATTTTTCAAGGCAGATTTACAGTTTTGTCACTCACTCTGTGAAAACTTTGCAGCATTAACCTTCTCTTGCTCTACACTATGCCACTGAACACTTTGCATTAAAGATTAGCTGTTATCCACTTTACTCCAGAGAGACCAAAAATGCATGCTAGCCTTAGTGCTTTCTGACAGGGTTCACAAAGAGTTAACATATATCCGTTATCATACTAGCCTGTATAATTCCTAATCAGGAAGTTTGCCTAATTTGGGGGAAGGGTGTTTGCTTTGATTTCCATCCCCAACCGTCATAGAAGATTCACGATTTGTGCCTGGGAATATATGACTATGCATACTCCAGGTAATGGGAACTTTTTGGTCATCTGTGATCAAATTTTAATGAAAATTATTGGTTTTGCAGAGCTGTGCAAGCATCTAATATAATCTTTCTAATCAGCCTGACTTTCCACTTACTCTTCGAGGTAGAAGTAACCATTCTCCTGTGCCAACCTTCTTGCGTGCTTCTGGGAATCCTTAGCTGTAGTGCCATAGGATATAACCATGGCACCGTACTCACGGCACATTTTCACTCGGGCCAGGGATGTGCTGGTTGACATGATGACAAACACTGGAATACGGAGCTCTGAGGCGTGGTAAGCAACAGCCATGGAAAAGTTACTGTCCGAAGCCACGATCACCCCCTTTCTTTGCTGATCCTAAAAAACAGGGTTTCTTATTGCACACTATGTAGTGTCACAAAGTTGTCCCATATAGTCCTGAATCATTCAAATAGTCTGACTTCCTTCTTTTCTTCTACTAGCTGATCATATTGTGATGCAGTTTATGCATGTCTGGTGTGCTCTCAGGAGTTACACACAAAGCTAAGACAGCACAAGATCAGTCCCTGTTTCTGCACTCCTCAGGGTTCAATTCTTGTTCCATTGGAAGTAGCTGCAAAACTCCAGCTGATCCCAGAAAAGCTGATATCTGGCCCCTCAGAGATGATATCTCGTCCCTCTTCCTTGCTTGTGTGAAATTATTGTATTTTTAATTAAATGAGTTTGGATGCATTTATTTTAATTAATAGAAGAAATTATTCATATTATTATAAAATTAATTTAATTTTAACTTAATAGGAGGGCTCATTCATATTATTACAAAAGTGCAGGAATAACCATTGTTTCTGGGCTGCTGTATCATGCCAATTATTATTGCTGAAGAGACTAAATAATCTCCTATGACAAACTATATACAAACTGTTTATGTAATAATACTGAAATTCATTACAAAATCAATTGGTGATCTAGATCTTTCTCATCACCCATTGTAACTCAATTGCATCATCATGTAAAGTTTGGTGGTTTCAACATGTCAGAATCATAGTACTCGTAGAAACACTGTCATCTAAACGCCACAGAAAAATGCTGATGTTTATATTTTGCAAGCTTTTTCAAATATTTTTAGGCATTTCATCAGCAAATTGGCCAAGCATAAATAAAGTAGTAAAGTATTTTACATTCAGATACTTGCAGACCTATCTATGTTGTTCAGCACAATGGTTCAAAAGGCAAGAAACATTGCGATTCCATGGACATTATGGGTAAAATTATCTTTGCTCCATTTCTGTGAAGCAGAATTAATCTATTTCTTTTTGAGTGTCAACATTTTGTGGTACCTGAGGCAGTGATGTCAGAAGATAAAGTACACCTCGTTCCTTCACAGATCCCGTGTACTGGAGGAACTCTTTCTTTAGATAGATGTCCATTCCATACTGCTTGGATAGCCTAGAATACTGGAGTACAGAAATGTTATTGTGGGGATGTATCTAAAATTAAGAAGAATCTTCCACACCCTGTTGGATCCCTGGTGAGGCATGCATTCAACCACTATGTACGAGCTCTAAAAAGTAAAGTTCATAACCTGTTTCTTTAGAAATACATGACAGTGTGTTGTTACCTACCAGATTCTTCTGGTTTATGGAAGTAATTTTCAAACACACAGCAGTGAAATATGTACCCCATGTCATTATGAATTCTGAAAATAGCACTTTTCTTACTGTTCAAATACAGATATTAAAATAAGTATTTTCAATTATTTCAAAAACCACCCCATGGTTTGATATTTTAGCACTTGCCAGAACTAGATGTTGAATACCCCAAAAGTAAGGTCGTCATCTAACAGATGCAAAACCAGTTAGAAAATTCTACCTTGAGTCCCATTATTACTCTGCTATGGTTTCTGCTGCAGATTCACTACTCAGTATTGTCCATTTTGCACCCTAAGGCCAGTACAGCATTAATAAAGACACTTCTTATTTGAAGAATGACAGAAATAATAAAAAATATTTCCCAGGACTGCAAGTGTAAGCAGCAGCAGTTTGAAAATGCTCAGTGTTTGGAACGGAAAGGATCCCCGAGCTGAAAGGAATTAGCAAGCATAGTATATGTGATGCAGCGTCCAAATGCATGATTTTTTAATTTTTTTGTAATAGTAAATAAACTTTTATCAATTTTTGTAGCAAGACACTCCCAGCATGCATTGCCATATTAATTTGTTATTACTGTGTTATCTAAAACAAGAGTTTTGTGCAAGATAACTTATGAAATAGCACTGCAGTAAGCCTGGGGGTTCCAGTTCCTTAGGCTTACTGCATCTCTATTTCCTAATTGGCTCTATTTCTTCCACTGGCTGCCAAAGCAAAGGAGGAGTTGGGGATTTAGGGGATCAAGCCCTCGTTTATGATGTCACAATGAGATAGATTAAAAGATGGCATGACAATATATTTCAAATATTTTTTTCAAAAAGTATCTGGCAGTGTCATGCATATGGTGTATAGTGTACATAGTAACACATACTGATGTATTTTTCAGACTGTAGGACTTTCAAAGTGAATTTATATAAACTAAATATGTCTGAAACAGGTACTCGCTTTAAGGTATACAATTAAACTAAATATTTCAGATAAATGTTTCAAGGCCTTTTGGTGTATTTAACAAGCATGTGTTAAGTTCCTCACCCACAGGTGGGGCCAGATTATTTTGCTTCTGAAAATCCTGCAATAGGAGCTACCACTTGCTGCTCCTTTGCAAATCTGGCTGCAGAACAGAGAGAATAGAAAGTGCTTAGTACACTAATAAGATCATAGTTTCTATCCTAAACAGCCTAATCTATGGAGAATGCCTATGCAAAACAGGACAAGAACACTAGAGACAAGAAACACTACTGGTTCTTCACATACCATGCTAGTTTTATGATTTTTGGTTTTGTAGAGAATCTTGGATTCTAGAGTGAACAATGAGAAAAGGGATTTAAGGAGATGAATCCTGTGACTTCATAAAGTTGCTACATTTAAGGTCTCCTAAATTCAAAAATATGTATTATTAAGTCACTCTACTATAGAGGTGGTGTACTTCAGTTTATTATTATTTTTCTTTTATTTTGATACTCAATATTTTAACTCTTTATGTTATCCTTTTCTGCTTCCTTTAACTGAGGCTTTTTTTTATGTAGCCTAAATATAGCAATTACTTCTAACAGAGGAGGCGTCAGTGCTATTTTCAGCTGAACTGACCTGATGCGTGACCTGGTAAGACTCATTGAACCAGTCTGTAAGTTTTCCCTTTTGTCACCGTGATCTTATCTAAGGACTACAGGTACTGTGTCTAATGTACAACACACAGCACAGCCTCCATTTGGCATCCATAAAAGCCCTTGAAGTTCCTACGTAGTAACCAAACCAAGCGCCAAATTTAATGCTAGTTCCTTGGTTTCCTATACTCATTACCTCTATAACATCTGTTACGATCATTCATGATACCGTATCTCAGATACCATATCCTGGCAAACTTCTGCATAAGGCTCCAGGATGCTCCATCCATGGTTTTACCTGCAGATTAGGAATCACCCTGCAAACTGTTTCTCCATTCAATTAGCTGAATCGGTTATAGTCATGCTCGCTCTTTTAATCCAAACAAATGTCCCTGAAAGGGGTTCTTACCTCTCAGTGACGAGTGAAAATAAAGACTATCTGTGTTTTTCTTGACACCACTCCATGCTTTCAGTACGTTTCTTTTGAATCAGTGCATGAACTAACGGACTTCCATGGGAACATTACTTTGAATAGCAGCAGTTGTGGGCTATTTTCACACCAAAACAAGTGGGGATGTGGGTTTTCCACTATTCTGATCAATCCAAAAGCATAGTTCGTAAAAAAGGGACTAAAGAAAGTTAGCCTGTTTAGCTTGACTCAGTAAATGCAGAAAGGGGGTACAACCATGTTGCATAAATCTGATGCGGACACACAAGAGAAAAGAACTATTTAAATTGAGGAGTGTCATGATTTAACCCCAGCTAGTGACTAAGCACCACACAGCTGCTCACTCATCCCCACCCCAGCAGGATGGGAGGGGAAGACAACTGGAAGGATGAAAGTGAGAAAACTCATGGGTTGAGCTAAGAACAGTTTAATAATAATAATAATAACAACAACAATAATAATAATGTAACAAAAAGGAAAATACCAAAGAGAGAAATAAAACCCAAGAAAGACAAGTGATCCAAATGAAAACCATTTGCTCACCACCAAAAAACTGATGCCCAGCCAGTCCCTAAGCAGTGGCCCCCCAGCCAAACTTCCCCCTGGTTTTATTGCTGAGCATGATGTCATATGGTACAGAGCATCCCTTTGGTCAGCGAGGGTCAGCTGTCCTGGCTGTGTCACCTCACAACTCCTTGTGCACCCCCAGCCTCCTTGTGGTGGGGTGGGGTGAGGAGCACAAAAGGCCTTGACTCTGTGCAAGCGCTGCACAGCAATAACCAAAGCACCCCTGTGTGATCAGCACTGTTTCCAGCACAAATCAAAACACAGCCCCATACTATCTACTATGAAGAAAATGAACTCCATCCCAGTCAAAACCAGCACAAAGAGCAAAGCTGCCTGAGAACAAATAGTGTGAATTGGCCAAAGAGAGCTTAATTACTCATGAGCAGGTGCACAACCAGGTTAGAAAAAGTTTTGTATTACACAGATGCCTGCAGGAGCAAAAGATGAACTCAGTGGCACAGTCTCGCCTTTTCCTGCGTTAAGGTGTATCAGCAGGTTAATTTTCAGAGTGGGAGCCACAGCTTGGGAGCAAGTAGATGGCTTAGGGGATGGGGCCTGGGTGGACATTACTAGTTTTGAGTTGTTAGTCTGATCCATCTGAGCTGAAGGTGTGAATGAGGTCCTTCAACGACCCAATTGGCCAAGGCTCCCACAATCTCACACTGGCAAATATACAGAGGCAGAAGTGCACAACGCCATGCGCTGCAGGGAGGGGATGATCCAAACTATCAAAAGGTACTGAGCTAGCTAGTTCTGCTTTCCAAATTAAGCTGTGACCCTCTTTCTCTCCCTACCCATAGACCTATATTTGTACAGCAAGATTAAACCCATCTAACACATATGACCAGATCTGTCAAACAGAGAGAAGTGCAGTGCTCACTACCTGCAATATAAATGCAAATCTCTTCCCGGGACAGTCTCTCCACAAAAGCAGAAGACTGACACTTCTGACTAAAGCATTGTCTGTGCTCTGAGGCGTGACAGCCTTGAGAGTTTTGGTGGCAAATGATGCAATGTGCAGGGTTTGGTATGCTCCCTCTGTTTGCCCAGGCCCTGGCCCTCCAACCACCCATGCTGCACAACTGTTTGCCCACTCCCCCACTGCCTTCCCTAGCAAGCCAACTTTTCCGCTTTGAGAGGAAGTCCAGGTAGAGCTAGCAGGATGGTTTAGTCCTGAGTCACTCTGAGAAGGCAGTATATGAAAGCAAAATGCATCCAGTTTTGCTCCCCACACTCCAGCCAACACTACCCTGCAAGTTTTTGTGTCACCTTACTGCCTCAAACGGCCTTGTATCATGCCCTTTCTTATGAGACATGCTTCTTCAGTACTACAAAAAGTAGCTATCCTTATTTTGGGAACTTTGGGAACTTATATTTGTTGGTAAAAAAAACGCAACCAAAAGTAATTATGATGTCTCTGGATCTGCAGGCACTATCTGGGAACCAGGAGAACTGCTGCACTGCGCCCATCCACCCACTTTGCTTCAGGGACTGTTAACCCCAAGCAGTGGCTCAGACACCAAGGTCCTTTCCCTGCGCAGGCCAGAAAGACAATCCATAGTTGGTGAGGCTGGCAGGGTGCCCTGGGTCAGCAACAGGGAAGGGGTTCATTGAGAGCGCGATTTGGGGCTGCTGCTATGAGTTGCCATTTGACAAAGATGCTCTTTTCACCCATTGCAGGGAAAAGAGATTAGCCACAGAGTGCCTACAGTAGCCTTCATGAAGAGCTCCCAACAGTAGAAATACACTACAAATTAAACAGTTTGCCACTGTACTTCTCTTGCTCTTTAGCAAATGCTTGTACATTTATGGGATTGTCTCAGTCATTTTCATACCTAGACTGATCGATAGGTACCTATGTTTGTCTGTGTATATCTTTATGTCCTTGTTTTATTGAAGAGGTATGTGGCAGAACCACCAGGTTACAGAACATATCCAGCCTTACCAGGTTGGCCAGGCTAGGACGGAAAACCTGTAGCTCCAAACTCTCCAAATATAAGAGCTGGTCCCAAACCAGACCCTCCCAAAAGACTGCTTACCCAAACACCGACAGTCCACCACTCCAACCCAGGTTCCTTGGAGCAAGAGTTTTCCATTGGGAGCATAATATCACAGTGCATTAAGTCTATGCCTAATGTGGTTTATCCTTTGTTTACAGGTAACTGCAATCTTTGAGGATTTAGGTTAATGTAAACAGGTAAGAAGAAAATTATTGTTGACATTTAGCACAACTAATATGAACATGAGCCACTTTACACAGATCTATCTGCTGCAACTTGCACGTGCTCTTCATTCATTTCTGATCAACTTCTATATAGAAAAGAAAAGAAACATTGAGAGAATGCAAAGCCATAAAGACTCCCTACCATGCAGGGTGTTTTCTGAACACCACACTGGATTTTGAAAGCTGCTGCACTAATATCTTCAAATCGAATCAGCTTGTTACAGCTTGACAGGCTGCTCCTACTGCTTGACTGAGGGATGCGGGAAAGTGCATCTCTAAGTAACTCCTCATTACGGCTCAATATCTTCATTTCCCAGGTCTTCACATCCCCGTTCAGGTAATCCTCCTCACCAAAATCTTTCAGTCTCTCAGGGTTGATAGAGGGTGACTTCTGCCCAATAAGGCCATTTCTTATCAGTCCATCCTTACAACAGTGAAGATCACAGAGTGCTGGGGCATCTTGTTTCTTTATTTTATTATCATCCCTAAAAACAAATAAAAGAAACTTGTTAGGAAAGCTTGGATGATTAAAGTCTTGACATTTATCATTCAAGAAGGATGCCCATCTCGGTTGCTCTTTGCAAGCCTCAATTATTACTGTCAGACTGAATTATTACTGTCATACTTATCTTGCAGGTGGGTTGAAAGCTACTGTAACCAGCTAGCTTTTAGAAAAGCCCCTGGCAACCTGGTGTGTGGTTAACTGGTAAACTGTCATACCCAAGAAAATAAGAAAGATACAATCCATGCTGTCTGGGTAAGCAGACCTTCCTCAGTACTCGGTCAGCAATGGTCACAGTTCAGTGCTTCCAGAAATTTTGAAATAACTGGAATTGTATTTGCTGTATGCAACTCCATGTTTTTCAAAAAAGACAAACAGCTGCTGCAGACTGCTCCCTTATACCAGTAACAGCATTAACAAATGTCATTATGTTGTAAACAAGAGGTCTGCTTCTCTGCTCTTGCATACTTGCAGAATATACTTTTGACAGTTGCCAACTGCCTCGTGACGGGAAGGAAATTCCTTTGTTAAGGGATAACAATTATATCCTACTATAGAGCTAAAGAATTAGGTCTCCTGATCCATGAGTTCATAGATCCACACTTCATAGATAAAAACACCTGTAGATAAGACAACACCATGATGCCACATAAACTTCCTTCCCCAAAGAACTTTGGAGAGAGAACGTTTTGCTACAAAAATTTGCCAATATTCCTGCCTAAATTGG